CCACTTAACAGTTACTCAGGTCACATTACTGTCAGTGATAAAGAAATATTTTCAATTTTTGACATTTATTTTTTCTTTGCTTTTACGCAGGAAAGTACTAGGAAAATTGCGCAAATCAATACTAATATAGGTCAAGATGAAAATAAGTTATGCATAGTTTTTAGACAGATTAAAAATATATATCACCAGGACCTAACTCACATTCTTTCAGAGGTTACAAAGGAAGATATGGAGGGCTGTAGCAAATCATTAGCTAGTATTTTCAACATGTCACCGGAAACTGGTATAGTACCTGAAAAGTGTAAAATGGCTATAATGCGGAAGATAGGTCATTAGCTTCGAATTATAGATCAGTTAGCCTTACCTCCACTGTCTATAATGCGGAAGATAGGTCATTAGCTTCGAATTATAGATCAGTTAGCCTTACCTCCACTGTCTATAATGCGGAAGATAGGTCATTAGCTTCGAATTATAGATCAGTTAGCCTTACCTCCACTGTCTATAATGCGGAAGATAGGTCATTAGCTTCGAATTATAGATCAGTTAGCCTTACCTCCACTGTGGGAAAATTAATGGACTAAATAGTTTCAGAAACAATTCCAAGCCATCACGAGAGATGTATATTGATCTATGAATCTCAACACTGTTTTACATAGATTCTCCTCTTTTCTTTCGTTATGTGACTTAACTAAACATTCCTGGGACTGGGTATAGTAGTGTCAGTCGGAATGAACTAGATAAGTAACATCAGCTCTGCTTTACATAACCGTAATGTTATAATATTAATAAACTATCTCATTGTCTTTCGCACGAATTAACGTAATGAAATTAAATTACCCTTGTGACAGTTTAAAGTGTGGAACTGATGGAATGAAATTTTTTTTTTTTTATTATCACACTGGCCGATTCCCACCAAGGCAGGGTGGCCCGAAAAAGAAAAACTTTCACCATCATTCACTCCATCACTGTCTTGCCAGAAGGGTGCTTTACACTACAGTTTTTAAACTGCAACATTAACACCCCTCCTTCAGAGTGCAGGCACTGTACTTCCCATCTCCAGGACTCAAGTCCGGCCTGCCGGTTTCCCTGAATCCCTTCATAAATGTTACTTTGCTCACACTCCAACAGCACGTCAAGTATTAAAAACCATTTGTCTCCATTCACTCCTATCAAACACCCCTCACGCATGCCTGCTGGAAGTCCAAGCCCCTCGCACACAAAACCTCCTTTACCCCCTCCCTCCAACCCTTCCTAGGCCGACCCCTACCCCGCCTTCCTTCCACTACAGACTGATACACTCTTGAAGTCATTCTGTTTCGCTCCATTCTCTCTACATGTCCGAACCACCTCAACAACCCTTCCTCAGCCCTCTGGACAACAGTTTTGGTAATCCCGCACCTCCTCCTAACTTCCAAACTACGATTCTCTGCATTATATTCACACCACACATTGCCCTCAGACATGACATCTCCACTGCCTCCAGCCTTCTCCTCGCTGCAACATTCATCACCCACGCTTCACACCCATATAAGAGCGTTGGTAAAACTATACTCTCATACATTCCCCTCTTTGCCTCCAAGGACAAAGTTCTTTGTCTCCACAGACTCCTAAGTGCACCACTCACTCTTTTTCCCTCATCAATTCTATGATTCACCTCATCTTTCATAGACCCATCCGCTGACACGTCCACTCCCAAATATCTGAATACGTTCACCTCCTCCATACTCTCTCCCTCCAATCTGATATTCAATCTTTCATCATCTAATCTTTTGTTATCCTCATAACCTTACTCTTTCCTGTATTCACCTTTAATTTTCTTCTTTTGCACACCCTAAACCAAATTCATCCACCAATCTCTGCAGCTTCTCTTCAGAATCTCCCAAGAGCACAGTGTCATCAGCAAAGAGCAGCTGTGACAACTCCCACTTTGTGTGTGATTCTTTATCTTTTAACTCCACGCCTCTTGCCAAGACCCTCGCATTTACTTCTCTTACAACCCCATCTATAAATATATTAAACAACCACGGTGACATCACACATCCTTGTCTAAGGCCTACTTTTACTGGGAAAAAATTTCCCTCTTTCCTACATACTCTAACTTGAGCCTCACTATCCTCGTAAAAAACTCTTCACTGCTTTCAGTAACCTACCTCCTACACCATACACTTGCAACATCTGCCACATTGCCCCCCTATCCACCCTGTCATACGCCTTTTCCAAATCCATAAATGCCACAAAGACCTCTTTAGCCTTATCTAAATACTGTTCACTTATATGTTTCACTGTAAACACCTGGTCCACACACCCCTACCTTTCCTAAAGCCTCCTTGTTCATCTGCTATCCTATTCTCCGTCTTACTCTTAATTCTTTCAATTATAACTCTACCATACACTTTACCAGGTACACTCAACAGACTTATCCCCTATAATTTTTGCACTCTCTTTTATCCCCTTTGCCTTTATACAAAGGAACTATGCATGCTCTCTGCCAATCCCTAGGTACCTTACCCTCTTCCATACATTTATTAATAATTGCACCAACCACTCCAAAACTATATCCCCACCTGCTTTTAACATTTCTATCTTTATCCCATCAATCCCGGCTGCCTTACCCCCTTTCATTTTACCTACTGCCTCACGAACTTCCCCCACACTCACAACTGGCTCTTCCTCACTCCTACAAGATGTTATTCCTCCTTGCCCTATACACGAAATCACAGCTTCCCTATCTTCATCAACATTTAACAATTCCTCAAAATATTCCCTCCATCTTCCCAATACCTCTAACTCTCCATTTAATAACTCTCCTCTCCTATTTTTAACTGACAAATCCATTTGTTCTCTAGGCTTTCTTAACTTGTTAATCTCACTCCAAAAGTTTTGGAATGAAAATATGTTCTGTAAATTGTCGTTTTATATAATTATTAGATTTAAAGAGTATTTTACAGTTATCAGAATTTACATTGTGGCTGTAGTAATTTACATGACTGAAAACAGCACTGCTGTTATCTGCTGTACTAACTTGTGTCTGGTGTCAAAGTTACTCCGGCCATCAAATTTAATGCCTAAATGATGGCGATCGCTTCTCTAAACAATTGCAACTAATTTCCCCCTCATTCAGTCGAACTTAATTACCTCTCAGTCTTCAGGATTTGTATAACACCTCTGGATTAAGTATTTTTCAGTGAATGTACTGTACATAGCAAGTGTGTGAATGATAAATAAAAGCCTGGCTGGTCTGAGACCAGGCAACGTTTGCTTTGAGCTCGATGACTCACGGGTGTCAGGCACATGCGATGGGAATATAAGAGATCCTCTTGTGACAAAAGCTAGATGGATAACTTCCCCAGAAACAAATCCTTCTCCTCCAACCAACACAAACCACTGAGAAAAAATCTCTAAGGCAGAACTTAACCTCATCTAATCGATCCTAACCTAACCTGACCTGACATAACCCAACTAAATCAAATCTAAGCTAATGTAATTAACGAGGTGCTATCAAATATGTTACTGGACTGCAGCGAAAAAAGTGTCCCTCAATGTCCTTCAGTGTCCTTCAGTGTCCCTCAGTCTCTCTTCAGTGTCTCTCAGTGTCCTTCACCGAGTCAAAACACAGTTTAAATCTACATTTCGATGAAGAAGTAAACTTACCTAATCACCAAGATGAAGTTGTCTCCCAAGAAGTACTCGTTGAGAGGCTCAACAGTGATCCCAGTGCCTCTGCCACGTCTCTAGAACTCTTCTTTCCTAACGTTTTCACATAAAAACGACAACAGGGAATGCCTTATATATAACATCGATCAGAGGACACCTACGCTTGTCGTCAGTTGTATGAATCTCTTCCTAGTTATATTACGCTAATGTTGGCCTAGTACGTTCGATTTCATCTCTCCTGTCGGAGTTCATTGGTTCGAAACTACAGCGCTCAGTCGTAATATTTTTGGGTCTGTATAAGATGCATAATGTGCTTGAAGAAATAAATATTGTTATTATTATTATTATTATTATTATTATTATTATTATTATTATTATTATTATTATTATTATTATTATTATTATTATTATTATTGCTGAAGATTCGAAGCTAAATGGATCAGGAGTTCTCAAATTTCGAACGAAACCTTCGAGGAATAAGAACAAAAAATTGTATATTTTCGGGAACTAACTGTGCTATTCTGTACACTGTAATTCAATACTTTTCAATAAAATACCATACATTTAAATATGGGATCAGGGAGCGCTAATCCCATAGGTGTCATATATATCCTGGTGGGAAAGTTAGGTAAGTCAGTTAGATCCCAAGAAAGGGATATCAGGTACACTGTCTTGGATCAAGAGACCTTTATTACTAGCAAGGAAACTAGGAACCTCCCTTGATGAGATTTTGATCCTAAATCATACCCATAAGGATACTGAAGAGGATCCCAGAAGGATATCGAAATGTGCATAGTAATCAATCCTCTGAGTTACTGTCTCCATGAGGGTTATTACTGAGCAATGACAGGTGTTCATTACGCTTTAGTTATCCGTATGTGAATATGTACATGTAAGTATAACAAAAACTCTCAAGATAAAAGTTAAATTGATACCAAAAAGTTTTTGTTCAAGGAAAAAGTGTTTTGAAAGCAAGGGATCTGATAGCGTCAGGTATCCACTGGGCTTGTTAAATGTTGTAATTTGATCGTGAAACAATTTTAGATGACTGGAAGATTTTCTTTTAAAGCAAACAAATTACTATTTGTAAAATGGTAGTTGTTTCCCAGCAAATATGGTCGTAATTCTGAAGACTTGTGAAGAGATAGTCATTAGTAGCTGACCATGAAAATAACTAGATCAAGGCTATATAATATCGAATAGCTGATGAATAAGAAGCATGTGTAACACTGGTGTCATACTCATCTTTGCCCATAAGATCAGCATGCAACAAATATAAATGAGCTGATATCCACCCTAATACGTACAATATACACACCTCTGTAATGCTCTCAATTCACATTCAGCTTGGGTAAAATTAATACTGCAGTCATGGTGGCTCGCCTGATGCCAGTAGATCACCTTAAATCTCTTCTCGTCACTCCGCAGCTCTCAGAATACTCGACTCTGTTAAGAGTTCGGCACGATCCACCACGCCGTAAACTACCCACTGCTCAGGGAGCTTCCAGGATCACGTAGACAAGCTAAAATCTCCTACTGCAGTAATAGTAAACTCCTGACTCTCTCTATAAGACCTCCGCTATTCAAGCCTCATTGAGACGGATATAAGATCCAAAACAAGCATTGAATGGAACAGTGTTTCTCTGTCTGTCTGTCTGTCTGTCTGTCTGTCTGTTTGTCTGTCTGTCTGTCTGTCTGTCTGTCTGTCTGTCTCTCTCTCTCTCTCTCTCTCTCTCTCTCTCTCTCTCTCTCTCTCTCTCTCTCTCTCTCTCTCTCTCTCTCTCTCTCTCTCTCTCTCTCTCTCTCTCTCACTCTCTCTCTCTCTCTCTCTCTCTCTCTCTCTCTCTCTCTCTCTCTCTCTCTCTCTCTCTCTCTCTCTCTCTCTCTCTCTCTCTCTCTCTCTCTCTCGTTGTCTCTCGCTCTCACTGTTGAGCGTTATGAAGTCATCAGCTTTGTGACTTAAAGCTCCAGACAGAGGAAAACATTGTCCAAATGAATAAATACTTACTCAGCACCCCGTCTTCCTCTTTATATTCGTCAATAAAACGCCATTCTTCCAGTCAGCCTCAACTTCAACCTCCTCGAAATTCTTACGACACAGAGTACTAGACAGCCAACCCATTATTAATATTTTCTTACATTCATCATGTGAATAATATGTAATTTCTTTTTCATTAAGTTTCTGAACTAATTTTAAACTTTGTAATTGGTAGGGATACAATAATTAGCCGCAGTAATTGCCTGTGTTGATAACTCATTCTGGAGGAAGTATTCGGAGTAATTAAAAATTATATTCCGGAATTGGTTTAATATGCAGTTTTGACGTTTAAAATGTTCTTGATGAATAATACACACGTATTCTTACTGAGAGACATTTTGTCCACCAGGGGCTTTATCCATCTCCTGAAGAGGCAATCACCATGTTAAATTGAAAGTATGTCTATAATACAGAGACTTTTCTGTTTATAAGAAAGCTGCTGGTAAGCGAATCGTCTCTTGGTAAAGATACTCAGGTGCTGCACATGTCTTAATCATCAAGACAGATATTTAATTTGATTTTCCATCAGTTGACATGGATATCATTCTCCTTAGTAGATAACATGGATAATAAGACATAAACAAAAGCTGTTCTTCAATAATGAGTCAAATACGTCGCTTGAATGTTTTGTGTTAGTTAACTCTCCACTGGGGGTGCATAACTAATCCCTAAGCTAAGTATGATAGAAGTAAGACATTCGTTATGCAGCAGCACTCAATGCTGTGTAAATGTGATCGAGACGGGACAAGAGGAGAGGTTTATTCATGAAGAATTTCTAATAACTTTTGCAGTGAAGTTTGTTTCCCTACTGCAATTCAATGTTTTTCATTAAAGATACAGTAACTTATGTCCCAGTGCTATTTTCTCTCTGACTGGACGTCAATTCCCTCTTTCTGTATTATGTTTCGATTTGTTCTACAAGCGTCTGTGTAGGTAAGTAACTTTCATTACGTTCTGTACAAAGCATCTTTGCTCTGGTCTCAGTAACCTACACTTAAACTAAGTGCAAACCGTTTGGAATTATTCTTTGAATTTGTTGAAAAGAGTTGGAGCTTGTGATTTATGAGATGGGAATTGTGCTTAGTTATGAGATAAATGTTGTTAGTGTGATTCTTTGGCACAGCATCCCTTCTTGGGAGTGTTTTCCCGGGTACCTCCTTTTCGTAGCAGAATGTTCTCTGGCTACCTTCTTCCCTTCTTAGTAGCATGTTTCCTTGGCTACCTCCTTGCCTTTTTAGTAGTGTTTCTCTGGCTTCTTCCTTCCTTTCATAGTAGCATGTTCCCCTGGCTACCTCCTTCCCACTTTGGTAGCATGTTTTCCTGGCTACCTTCTTATCTTCAATGGCTATGAATGCTATAATATAACCAAGGACTTATTGTGACCCGTCTATATGATATAACAAAATATCGTGATCATCTTCTCAAATCCTCCTTTGCTCTTTGTACTGTGTGCCGGAAACGTAGCCGTATAAAATTCCTCTCAATGATTTTGTAAATAAACATCCTGGCTAGGTACTGTACAGTACTGTCTATATGAAAACTGACATTTTCGAAACTCAGTTTAATACTCGTAAAAAGTTATCTTGCAATATGATACCTTGCAATAACATGCAGTATGAATTGCTTCTGGCAATAGACTCGCAGTGTTTGTCACATCCTCAAAAGCTATATCTTTATTAAATGTGTACACATATTGGTTACAGTTTAAGTTGTGAGGCTTCATGTGTGTAAACTTATATACACCATATGTTGGACAGTTTATTTAATTACTGTTTTTCATCAGTTATTGTTGGATTGCTTCTTAGCTCTGAGTTGTTCATGTAGAGGGAATAGTGTTTGGCTCAGTAGTTATATTCATGTACAATTCTTTTCTTAAATGAATCATAATTCAAGCATCATTTACTTCTTGAGTGATTTCCAAGAGTTTTGCTGCATCGACGATACCAGAAAATATCTTTTCACTGACTGTGATATAGGCATCAGCTTTGTACGACGTGTTCCAGAATACACAATGTGGAATAATACAATAATGGAGAGTGAGACGTCCTTTTGTGCTGTTCCCACAACCTCTCAATTCAGAAAGTTTCCTAGTTACACTACCTGACCATTTCTAAAGGTACCTACTTACTGCTGCGTAACTAGAGGCAACAAGTGTCAGGAAACAAGCCACACATTTCCGGCCAGCCCATGAGGCGACGTACCCGTTTCCTGCCAATATTTGCACATCTTTCAAATATTATGAAAATACATACTTAATAAATCACATTTATAATTACAAAGAGTAAAATATTACAATACAACTGTGTATGAACATTAAAATGGTATAAAATACCGACAGGTTGTTAGGTAAGACACATATGCAACAGTTAGGTATCTTTATTTCGAAATAAAGATACCTAACTGTTGCATATGTGTCTTACCTAACAACACAACTGTGTATAAAAAATTACTAATTATGTGACCATTTTCTATTACTTTATCATTAGTAACTCAAGAAAAATATTTCTTACGTGTCCTTGTCTCAGTTACTCAACCCGGAAACATGTTGTTGATTAGCTTTTCTGTGCTCCTGAGACAGACTCAGCAATATTGCAACAAGTAATAAATGACATATTGCAGACATATGAAAAAAACAATGCGTAGAGCAGGCTTTATCAAGACAATATTTCGCTTTAGGTTGAGATTTCTCGAGTCATGACTTAGTAAAGCTTTGCACAGAGGGAAACGTCGTCGTAGTGAAAACATGTACTTCTGTGATGCCAGACTGCTAGTTTCTGTCGTTATTACACACTTTGCCAGCTATTAGCTTTATAATACCTCTATTTTTTTTTCCAAACGGTTTGACCGTCGTACGGCGGTGTGCATGAACTTTTGGGTTGGGTGGTCCCTGGTTCATCCTCCCCACTAGCGTGGTCCCTGGTTCATCCTCCCCACCAGCGTGGTCCCTGGTTCATCCTCCCCACTAGCGTGGTCCCTGGTTCATCCTCCCCACCAGCGTGGTCCCTGGTTCATCCTCCCCACCAGCGTGGTCCCTGGTTCATCCTCCCCACTAGCGTGGTCCCTGGTTCATCCTCCCACCAGCGTGGTCCCTGGTTCATCCTCCTCACCAGCGTGGTCCCCGGTTCATCCTCCCCACTAGCGTGGCACCTGGTTCATCGTCCCCACCAGCGTGGTCCCTGGTTCATCGTCCCCACCAGCGTGGTCCCTGGTTCATCCTCCCCACTAGCGTGGTCCCTGGTTCATCCTCCCCACTAGCGTGGTCCCTGGTTCATCCTCCCCACCAGCGTGGTCCCTGGTTCATCCTCCCCACCAGCGTGGTCCCTGGTTCATCCTCCCCACCAGCGTGGTCCCTGGTTCATCCTCCCCACCAGCGTGGTCCCTGGTTCATCCTCCCCACTAGCGTGGTCCCTGGTTCATCCTCCCCACTAGCGTGGTCCCTGGTTCATCATCCCCACTAGCGTGGTCCCTGGTTCATCCTCCCCACCAGCGTGGTCCCTGGCTCATCCTCCCCACCAGCGTGGTCCCTGGTTCATCCTCCCCACTAGCGTGGTCCCTGGTTCATCCTCCCCACCAGCGTGGTCCCTGGTTCATCCTCCCCACCAGCGTGGTCCCTGGTTCATCCACCCCACTAGCGTGGTCCCTGGTTCATCCTCCCCACTAGCGTGGTCCCTGGTTCATCCTCCCCACCAGCGTGGTCCCTGGTTCATCCTCCCCACCAGCGTGGTCCCTGGTTCATCCTCCCCACTAGCGTGGTCCATGGCTCATCCTCCCCACCAGCGTGGTCCCTGGCTCATCCTTCCCACTAGTGTTGTCCCTGGCTCATCCTCCCCACCAGCGTGATCCCTGGCTCATCCTTCCCACTAGCGTGGTCCCTGGCTCATCCTTCCCACTAGCGTGGTCCCTGGATCATCCTCCCCACTAGCTTGGTCCCTAGCTCATCCTTTCTACTAGCGTGTGCCCTGGCTCATCCTTCCCACTAGCGTGGTCCCTGGCTCATCCTTCCCACCAGCGTGGTCCCTGGCTCATCCTCCCCACGAGCGTGGTCCCTGGCTCATCCTCTCCACCAGCGTGGTCCCTGGCTCATCCTCCCCACCAGCGTGGTCCCTGGCTCATCCTCCCCACCAGCGTGGTCCCTGGCTCATCCTTCCCACTAGCGTGGTCCCTGGCTCCTTCTTCCCATTGGCATGGTCCCTGGCTCATCCTCCCCACCAGCGTGGTCCCTGGCTCATCCTTCCCACTAGCGTGGTCCCTGGCTCATCCTTCCCACTAGCGTGGTCCCTGGCTCCTCCTTCCCACTAGCGTGGTCCCTGGCTCATCCTCTCCACCAGCGTGGTCCCTGGCTCATCCTCCCCACCAGCGTGGTCCCTGGCTCATCCTCCTCACTAGCGTCGTCCCTGGCTCATCCTCCCCACCAGAGTGGTCCCTGGCTCATCCTTCCCACTGTCGTGGTCCCTGGTTCATCCTCCCCACCAGCGT